GAAGTGCCTTCAGACTGTGATGCAAATATGACACTTTTGGAAAGAGAGAAGGAAGACAGGAGACGTAAGTAAGAAGAGCTTCAGACTCTTCTTTTGCAGTTCTGGAAAAAATCTTGTGGAGACCAAAAGGGATATCCTAAGTAAAGGTTACTCACTGAGGGGTACTGTATTAGGCAAAAATGACCAGGCTCTAGTTCCCTTACCATGGTTAGTTATTGGCTCTGAGGAACCCTGAGAATGACCTTGGCATGAACACCACAGGACACTCAATGGTGTGGCAACTGGAGGCTCTCAGTCAGCTATGCTCCACGCTGAAGGTTCTCTCTATGGCTACCACACTATTCCATTCATGCACAGATCCACTTTTCTTTGGGAAGCAGCTCCCTCCTACGTCTCATGGACTTCACTTCCTGAGAGAACCTTCCTTCTTAAAACATTCTGTTTTATTGGCTCTGATGGTACTATACACCATTGATTTTCTATGGCCACTCCCTAGTCTCTTTGGCTGGTTTATCTTTCTCTGTATAACCTTTAAAAGAAGAAGTCTCCCCAGGAACTGGCTACAGCTCTTCCTCATACTGAGGAATCAATGGGATGAACTACTGCCCTCATCAGTGCAGATGCTCTCAGGGTCACAATTGGTATTCATTATGTCTGTTCTCCACTACCCACTATGTCTATTCATGTCTCACCTGTGTGGTTCTTGATAGCTGTATACATAAACAAAGAGAGAGATTATAAGGAATTGGCTCATGTGATTATGGAGACTGAGAAGGAGATTATGGAGGCTCAGGAAGGTTGCAGTACATTAAACTGGAGACCCAGGAAGGCCAATGTGTAGATGTATAATCCCAGCCTGAGTGTGAAGGCATGAGAACCAGTAGAGCCAGTGGTGCCAATCCAAAAGCCATTGGACTCAAGACCCCAGAAGAACTATTGTTTTGGTGTCACTCCAAAGGCTGGAAAAGACCAATGCTCTAGTTCAAGTCAGGGAGGACTGGACCCTACTGGAGACAGAATTACTCTTTTTATAATATTCAGGTCTTTAACTGATCGGATGAGTATCACTCACATTAGGGACAGCAATCTACTTTACTCAATCTATCTATTCAAATGTTAACCTCATTTAGAAACAGGCCCAGAATAATGTTTGATCAAATATACGGGCACCTGTGGCTTTGTCAAACTGACACAAAAGTCATCACAGTGATTAATCTGGTGGTGCAACTCACACCTTTTTTCCTGAAAGGGCTGAGTTCTTCCCAGGCCAAGGTTGCTATACATGTCCATTTGAAGTTTTAACTAACAGACATAGTACTTCAAGGTACAAAAGTGGATGACCTGGGTTCCATATGTATTGCTCCATCAGGATCACCTACAAGAGCAATCATTTTGTCTATTTGATATTACATTTATTTTAAAAATCTCATGCCAAGTGTATGTGGGTCTTCTTCTTTTTTAAAAATTAATATTTAGCATTAAGTCAAATTAATTCCTTGGTGGTAAGTTCTTTGCTATTTGAAATTAATAATTTTTCATCTTTTCACTATTTAATTAAAAAAATCTTTTTGCAAGCTCTAAGGATTTTTGCTTTGCATCAGCCATTTCCTAAAGCTTTGGAGAAGAGTGACAAATTGTGAGACACAGTGTCTTTCACATTTGTTCTTTAGATGTTATGATACATTTTGCCAAAACCTGAATGATAAGTTTTAAGGACCTTCTTGATGTTAAGGCTATTCCATAAATCTGTTAATGGAGTAGTATCACACCAGCTACTACACATTCCATTTGAGAGGCAAAAAAAAGACCACTTAGATAGGATCTTCCCAATCAATAACTACAGGAACTAAAAACACAACAGGAAAAAAAAAAAGAGGCTACTCAGATAGGATATACCTAATCGATAATAAGAGAGGAATGTCTGGAAACATTATCTGTTATCAAAAGAGGCTTGTTTGCAAAATTTTCCTTCTTCATGTATTCCATTATGAATAATCACAAAGATAACACTTCCTATAATCATTAAATGCTTGTTTCACAAAGCACTCTTCAATGACCCCTTAGGGACCATGTGGTTTGGGGAATGATAAGCTAACACATTTTTATTTTAGCAGTGCCTTATAATTTCCACCTAAAACCAATGTTAGCCTATCTTCGAAAGCTTCAGGTGTGTGGCACTGTCTTCTCCTACTATTTGAAATAAACCTACATGATGACATTCATCTCTAAAGACATCCAGGTTCATCAATATTGAGCATGTGCTTTTGCAGAACAACCATGTTATCAATAGTTTCCTGCAAGCTAGTGAGGGCTATCAGCAGCAGCGTCTTCACCTATGACCTTCAAATTACACAGTCATGTAAAATCTGTTGAAGTAGCTGACCCTACTCAAAGTAAGATCTTTTGGTGACTTTCTCTCCTCTGTCTCCTTTTTCTTCAAGTCTTTGAAGATGTTTAATGCCTTCTGCTCTATCAACATGGTTCTCTACAGCATTCCACAATGACTGAGGCTATTGGCACACAATGCATGGTTATTTCTCTAGTTTTTAGTACCAACAACACTTTTCATATTTTTTCTCTTTTTTTACATTCTCATATATAGAAAATCATTGCATTTCTGGTAGACAAAGACAAGTGCATTGCCAGGCTATGCCTTTCATGAGTTCTCCTCTCTCAATTCAATTTAACACAATTTTTCTTCCAATGGATGGCTTTTCTGGACTTTGGGCTTACCTAATTTCTTAAAAGACCTTTTCACTTAGTAATGTAAAGAAAACGATAAATAATGCACAATACTATTAAACAAAGGTCCTTAGAAGATTTAAGATATGGCTGAAACAATCCTCACATTCTCATTCAAACTCTTAATGCAACTTAAATGTTCTTATTGGTACATTAGACTATATGTTCAGTAATGAATGTGGAGGAATTTTTGCAAGTATTCATAGTGAATATACATGGTTATGGGTTCAGAGAAGTGACAACTAGAGATACAATGTTATGTTTGCAATATTATATGATTAACTGATGACTCACTCACATGAGAAGAGAACATATTTTTATTTGGACCTCTAATCAAGTGTGAGTGGCATACAGCTGTCAAGAGGATTTGAATTTCTTGAAAGTGTGGGTAGAACAATGTTTTCAAGCTCAGAAGGAAAATACTATTTACATTTTAAAATAGGAGATAGTGGGAAAAAGAAAGATTTATCTGGAAAGTAAGAAGACTGAATAAGTGTTCTGTCATAAAAGCAAAAAGAAGAGAGATTTTAAAATGAACGATGCCAAGAATTAGAGAAAATATTGTTGTATTTTCACATAGAAACTAAGAGCAGACTTAAGTGATCCTAGATTTTTATGATTGGATTGAAATAATTATTACTTCAAGTAACTTTTATACTTTTGATAAATATTGGAAAATAACCTAAATTATATAGCTATATTTTGTTAGTAAAGAACATTTTCATAAAACACATCAAATAGTAGCTTCAGAACACCACCAAGGAAGGAGCAATTAAAAAAAAAACAGTGTCTTTGGATTTTTGTTAATATTTATTTTGAAGTCTCAAATCTATGCTCCCTAGTAAGAATGCATCACCACCTTGTGGAAATTCCTTCAAACTACAGACACATGATCCCATGTTCCAGATGAATTCAACAGACTAGTAGATCAAAGTATTTTATTTCCATTTAATTTAATTTGACTGTTATTTCTATGTAGTTCACAATCCAGTATCAGTCTCTCTACTCTTCTTCGCTCTTCAAAGCTAGACTTATCTTTGCACCTGCTTGGTTCACTTTCCCACCTGATGCTTCGCAACCACTTAAAATATCATAACTTCTAAAGCAAATTCTTCATAATACTTCTATTTAAATTAGTGGACACTCATATCGTGTCCAGTCATCCAAGCTAAAAATTTTAGCGTTCTTTGACTTATAAAAATCTCCCATAAAATTCCACTCCAACTTAAAATTAATTGCTAAATGCTATTAGATATAATACCTTAATTTCTTTCCCAATTATCCTCTTCTTTTTATTTCTACTAACAAAATCCTAGTTTATACCTTCAAAATTGTATACGTTGGCCATTTTAAGTCTTATTCTAGTCTTTGTGCTTCTATTCTCTTCTTCCCCCGTTGCTACTGCTAATGCTGAATCTCTCCCCCTTGTTACTCAGTTTACTTGATTTAAACTGTTTTAGGCATGATGGTTTCTACTAGTCTTATCAGTGTCTGTATGTTCCTTTCCTTCTTTCCTACCAGTGTGCTGAACACCTGATGTTCCAACCATACTCTCTACTTACTATGTCCCAAATATGCTCTACTGCTTTCTTACCTCTCCTCCTAACCTCATACTTCCTCTCTTTGGTATGCCCTTACAGCATATCTGGATTTCAAAATCCTTGTGAGTTCGAATAAATTGTTTAAACATTTCTGCAGTGAAGTTTAGCAAATTTGAAGACAGTTTTCAGAAAAACAGTTCTTTTCATACTGAAAATGTATTCCAATCTGGATACACAGGCATAATGGGCATTCATTTGGCAAGCTAGGTAGCTAAATCCATATTGGTAATGATTGGCATTAAAAAAAAAAAAAGTAGACATATGAAGGAAGAGAGTATCTCCTCATATATCTTAATTTTGACTCACATAGTTTGCTATATACCTTTTGTTCCTTCTATGTAAAATACTGAACAGCTGTTTAATAGAGCTTAACAAGCATTTTGATCTTTCCACTTTGGTATCCTGAATCTCCTTACTGACTAACTTTACATTTTAATCAAATGAATTTTAATCTTTTTCAAAAGAGTCATGCATATAACTTTAGCATTTCAAGAGATGTTTCTGTATACTGGACAAAACAATATAGGGTGAGTTGATGACTGGTCATAGGACAGCAGGTCTGGGTGATGACTAGGGCTTGGCATATGTTTAGAATCAATGAGATCACAATTGGAACAGGGGTTTCCAAGAGATATGGTGGGACTGTGAGGAGGCAAAATAGATCACTTTTAAGCAAAATGTAGTAGAGACAGATCAGATAAGCAGTATCCAGAAGAAGATTAAACAAAGGAGGCAGTCTTTCATCAAGTTTTTAAGCAGCACCAGGGAGAGCTCCCAGCAAATGGCAGTCTCCACTTGCAGGAAACTGATGATGTGTTCTTTTACCACTGGCTAGGAAATTTTTAGATGGACCTGATACCCAAGGTAATCTATCTGAAAGCATAGATCTCTGGCCTGTCTAGTCAGATCTCAATCCTCAGTGAATGAGGCTTTATTCTCATAAATCTAAAAATTATTGGTGTACTAACCCGGGTTGATTTGGAGCTTGAGTTAGAAGATTAATATTAGTGGAAAGAGATTCTCCTAAAGTCTCAAGTTCATTGTGGTCAGTTCCCCAACCCCCATCATATAATCATGCTAGAGAAATGAGCTGAAGAGAGTCACCTGGCTCAAATTTATACCCTCCTTCGCAGGGTAGCCCACAGCCAGGTAACTCTTTTCCTAACTTAGAACAACTCTGAAGAGCCAGTAAAACTTCAAGCCTTTCATGGGGTCACCTGAAGCTTCACTGGGACTGTACCATAGCCCAACTTCTTATTTAGCTTAGTCCTGCTTCGTTCTCTTCTCCCACAAATGTTGACTCTGAGAATACCTACCATGGAAAAGACGCTAAACAACCAGACAGACAGAATAATTCAGCTAGTTCTATCTAATCTAAATTCATCATTAACTATCACAGTGCTGACACAATTGGCACATAAATATAGTAGCCATGGTGGCAGAGACGGAGGCTAAGCATGGGCTATAGATCATGGGTTCTCCTCACCAAAGCTCATACTGCTACTGTTGTAGCAGAATTCCAACCTGTTAGCAACAGAGACCAATGATGAGCACCTCATGACACTATCACTTGAAGAAAATAATTAGTCATTTGGTGGAAAGGCTATTATATTTGATCCTTTCTACCATGTTAAGGAGCATCGATATACCTTGTCGGTAACTGACATGTATTCCAAGTGTGAGTGTGGCTTTATTGTCCATAGTTTTAACTAATACCATCCTTCAAGGGCTTACAGAATGTCTGCTACACTAACACACCATCTGTTATAACTTTTCATCAGATATTTGGGTCCACTTCACAACATAGGATGTATGATAGTCCATGATCATGAAGTCCCTTGGTCCTGTCACATATTACACATGCAGTGGCTTATGGCCTCATTGAGTATGTAATGACTTATCAAAAGCACAGCTAAGGTGACAGCTTGAAGACATTACCCAGCAAGGATAATAGTATTATTCTGCAGGACACAGTATACACAGTGAACAAATGACTATTATAGAATGCAACAAACCCAACAGATAGAATGCATAAGTCTGAGAACCACATAATAGAAGTAAGCAGTGGCCCTGCTTACCACTGTTTTCAGTGGCCCACTTGAAGAACTTGTGCTTCCTAAATCTGCAACTCTGTCACCAAGGGACACACAAAGGTCACAATAAACTTTAAACTACAGCTATTGCCTAGACACTCCAGGTTCCTCATTCCAAGGTACCAGGAGGCAAGAAGAGAAATTGCCATCCAGGCAGGAATAACTGACTCACCTCATCAAGAGCGGGTAGAGCTTCCATTACACAATACAGATAAGGGAGAATGAATAGGTGTGACATTCAGGCTGTTAAGTGGGACGTCTCATGGCTACGTACAACAGCCTCAAAAGACCATGATAACCAGGAACGTGGACCCTTTAGGGATAAGGGCTTGGTCATCCCACCAGATAAGCCATCCAAAGCAGCAGAGTTGCTAACTAAGGATAAGGCAATCTAGAATAGACAATAAAGGAGGGAGAGCCTAAGTATCCACTGGAGCCTGGAGACCTGCTGCAGCTGCAGATCAACTTTCTCTTATCTGTCCTCCTAAGAAAAAGAGTCCCACCAGAGTCTTGAATGAGTTACATGTGGAAACAAGTCACTCAAGGGTTGGGGGTTGGACTGTCAGGGAAGCTGTGATGTCCTTCTCAAATCCATCTTCAAAATGGAAGAAATGATTTTTCACCTGCTACGAAGATGACTGAAGGCTCTTCTATCTGTTCTCATCTCCTTAAGAATTACCACAAGCTTAAGAGAGCCATGTTGCCTCTCACAGCAGCCCATATCCAATGACTGGTAACCATGGAGTTATAAGGGCTAGGCCTCTTCACCTTATCTTGGGACAGCCTAGAAGGGCCCAGCTCCAAGCAGCCCCCAAGGCTGGCTGAAGCCTTAGTTACATTTGCATCACCACCCAACTTTCCCTGCTTCCAAACCCTGCTTCCATCCTTTCCTAAGAACAAAGTTCTTGCATACTAATCTTCCATTTTAAAGTCTGCTTCCTCGGGCACTCGATTGATGACCTTTATTAACAGTAGGTGGATCAGATATAAACTTCTGTTAATGTCTAAAACAGGCATAACTTCATGGTCTGTGAAAAAAAATTCCAATTCTTTCATGAGTATTTAGTTATATCATCAATGTGTTCAGTTGATGGACATGTATAAGCTCTCTGAACTGACTCTCATTTTTACCCAATAGAATTATAGATATATAAATTTTAAAACATCCTTAATTTTTTGGAAAATATCTTAATTCTGAAGAGAACTGAAGTTGTAACGCTTTAATGTCTATAATCCTAGACATATTTAGTATATGTGTATAGTATATATATAGTATAATTTTTGATAAATGTATCCCAAGTTTTAGTTTCAGGAAGATCATTACTCAAGTACAGCAAACTATGATCTGTCTGATCAGGACAAGGAATGTGTTGATTAATCATATTCTCCTTCATAGAGATTCCATATGTACTACATTTGAATTAGCAATTTTCAAATGATTCAAACATATCGATATACATTTAATATCCAGGTGACTCTGAAAATAATCTAATACCTTTTTTAAATGAGTCAAAAGTCATTTTAGGATCCTCTTACTTTACAGGTTTACCAATATAGATACTGTAATTTAGACTTGCAGGAACAATTGCTAAGAAATACTTCCTATACATCTCCTGGTAGACCCCAGAATGACTATTATACTGTCATAACACATTTTGAACCACATATTCTAGGTGAAAAGACCACCAGAGACCAGAATGCTATCCTTTAACTGTAGCCCACAGTCATAAGAAAAATAGATGAGGTGTCTGTTTAGCTTTCAAGTTATAAACCAGTTGGTCGGTATGTGTGACTTAAGAATAACTGGAGAAAAAAAGTGAACAGTACTTATAAACAAATGCAAAAATGTGATAGGTCGGTGGTGAGTATCATGTGTACCTTTCCCTTCTGCTCCATGGAAATCACTGTCAATGAGCACCTCCTTCATTAGCATCTTTGTTCACAAAAGAATACAAGGTTGTTCTGATGTATTTCCTCTGAACAACTACAACTCACTTTATGAATACATCTGACATGCACTCAGTATCATTGCAGCACTCACCCTACCTAGTTGTCAAGGAAACAGACATCACCATCACTTAGGAAGTAGTGAAAAGAAATCTGTAAAAGAACAGAAATGTATTGTATATTGCAGGGTAAGAGTTTCTTTCTCTGAAGGAGAATTTGATGAGTTTCCTATTTTAATGAATTGAACTCAAACTCACTGCAAAGCATAAAATCTGAGCATGACAAATAAGATGCTAAAAACAATGCTCACTGATGGCAGAATAATAACAAGGGTGAATTGGCTTTATATTTACAGATAGATTTATTACAGAGTATATTCATTATACCCAACATAAGGTATGCTATGTCACATCTGAAAATTACTAAACTGGCTTAATTTAGTGAATTTGTCACTTTTTAAAAAAAAATTAGCAATTACAAACAAATATATAAACAGTTGACTAAATGCAACTAATTCATTTCAAGCTGTAAATCTATTTGCTTGGGAGATGTGTTTTTGTTAAAGTCAATATATTGAAATGATTAAGAACTCTGCTTTTAATTCAAATATCCTTGGGCCGCCTGGGTGGCTCAGTCAGTTAAGCGTCGAACTTCGGCTCAGGTCATGATCTCACGGTTCGTGGGTTCAAGCCCTGTGTTGGGTTCTGTGCTGACAGGTAACTCAGAGCCTGGAGCCTGCTTCGGATTCTGTGTCTCCCTCTCTCTCTGACCCTCCCCTGTTCCCTGTTCATGCTGTCTCTCTCTCTCAGGAAAAAAAATAAATTAAATAAATTAAAAAAATTCAAATATCCTTGTAATCAAACTGCAGCCTATTTACAAAAGGAGAGAAAAAGATGGCCCATTCAGAGGGGTTTAAATGAAAATAATGGGATTATTTACAGAGGTGTGGGGAAGTTGAAAGAAAATAATAACAGATGGTGAAGAACCCCAGGACCAGCAAAAATGAAAGTTTCTTGAGAACTCCCAAGTACTCAAGAAATGGTATTCCCAGAATTTGGTTAGAGTAAAAAGAATACCCAACAGAAACAACAGCTACTTAGGAAAGCAGACCCTCTATGCAGCAGGGCAGGAAGGGAGAGGGAGTGTAGAGTAATGAAAAGTAACACCATTTTTCTCTTCTTGCGCCATCAAGGTTGCTGAGCTTTCCCTTTCGTTGAAGCCAATCAGAAGTCAGAGAAAAAGAGAGCCTGGATGATGTAGTGTGTATAGTTCAACCTCCCAGAGCAAAGCAGAGTGGAAAACTGATCTAGGGAAGCAAATGGAAAATAATATCCAACATATCCTCTTATTAGTTATATTACCAGAGACATATTACTTCATCTATGTATCTGTTTCATCATCTCTAAAATATACTTGATAAAAGTATCTTTCTTACAGGGATGCCATGGGAGTAATATATGAAAATAGCTAGAAAATCATAACTCAATAAGTCTCACTGATTATTATTTTTCCATGTCAATTTTTTTAAATTAAAAATGTCAAAGTATTCATGCCATGAGATACAGAGAAGGTAACTTGAGAAGTTGAAAATTGAGAAGATATTCAAAACATAAAACCCTAAATATATACAACCATGTTAACATTAAACAGAATAGTAGCTTGACATTTTTTGCATTCTTCAAAAAAGAATTACTTTTCAAGTTATAAAAAGTAATTCGTTATTAGTTATAAAATGCATAAACACATTTCCTAGTTTTGATCTCCCTATAGCGGAGACATTAATTTCTTTCACATTAATAGCTTTTGCGGTCTGTGGTCTACAGA